TTTTTTTTTTTTTTTTGAAATAAACTATGTTATTCTTTTTGAAATATATGGATTATTTACGTGGACAACTAAAATGAGGAAGGTCTATCCAGACAGACCAAACAATAAGTAATTAGAAATCGTGTCATTTGGCCGTTATTTGACTTATGACTTACATAGAATCATACGTAATAAGCAAATATTATAGTTGCGTGAGAAATTTAATTTGAAGAAATATACCATGTCTACAGATTTCGTATTAATCTTAATGTTGAAGGGTTCTAAGTTTGACATTTGAGAATTTGACTAAAATAACAGTTTCTTCCGAAAGATGTTTTTTTATTACTACTTGTATTTTTTAACGGGAGAATTTGTAATCTTAAAAATAAGGCATGTTACCTTGGTCCGAAAGTGTAAAAATTCATATACTCACACTTAAACTTGATATAAAATCCACCTTACCCCTTGAAGTATGTTCCAGACATGGTAACAACACTAGCAGGATGATCATCCAATTGTGTACTCCAAATAAGATCTCCACTACTTCTTTTCAAAGCAAGAACCAAACTTGGTCCATAAACCCCAACAATCACCATATCCTTATCACTCACAACAGTTGGTGTTGCTCTTGCAACTATAGTTGTCACATTAGGCAAAGATGAAGCATTAAATTTTCCATTAATTCCAGTCAATTCTGGCAAACCTTTTTTCCATATAAGAACTCCATCTTTAGCTCTCACTGCATATATATTGCCATTCCAGCTCGGAAAATAAAGAACTCCGTCGAATATTGCCGGCGTCGCAGTTATATCTTTTCCAGCTTTGAATTCCCACTTCTGTTTCAGCCTTGAAGCAGTCCAACGGCTAATTTTCTTTTCACCATAGGCGTATCTTCGATTGTACAAATCACCACCATGATTTATCCAATTTCCTTGCTTGTGATAATGCGTCCTGTAACTATGCCACTGTAAATAAAATTAAACAAGACGTTTAGAAAAAGGAAAAAAAAAGAGAGTTTAACTTCTATATACATTGGCAGTTTAAATATTTATATTATCATTTCACCTAAGTAAAAGATAACTTCAGCTAATGTCTATAAAAAAGTGGATTTAGTAACTTAAAAAATAAGGCACATTAGTAGCTACAATAGTTTTAAGTACTCTCACAGTATAAATTGTTTTTACCGAATCCTTTAAAAGGCAACTATAGGTAACATTTTCATTATAAGCTAAATCCTTGAAGAAAAAGTTTAAAACTTGTAAACTGAAAATTCAAAAGATTTTTTATACTATTAAATCACCTAATTATACTCTTTCTGTTTCAATTTGTTTGAACCTTTTAGAGTATGCGGGTCAGATTGACTAATTTTTTGTGTTAATTTGGACATAGATTGTTTAATTTTTTTTTTTTGAAATAAAATTTACATATTTAGAAACTACATAAAAAGTATTATAAGTTATGAGAGTTAACAATTCAAAACATTTAAAAACTATTTACAAAAAATATGGTTAAAAAAAAGCTTGTTTGACTCCCCAAATAGTAATAGGTTCAATCTTTTCGAAATGGATTGGAGGAAGTAGAAGATAATTATAACTAATTGCTCGTAAAGAAAATGGGACTAGCTAGTAACATGAAAATAAGACAATTTCACGCTATAACAGTTAAAATACACGGATAGCAAAATAAATAAATTGAAAACTTCATATGCATGAAATTGCGTACAAGGTTGTGAAAATTCTGTATGAAGGGGAAAAGTCAAAGAGAGAGAGATGTATAGNATATATACTTACGTCTGGATTAGAGGTGCAACAAATTGAAATCGTACATAATACCAATCCTAAAAGGAGAAACAGATTGTTGGAACGTAGATGGATAGCCATGGGAAAGAAACCAGTTTTGGTTTCCTCTTATTCTCCTGAGCAGGACTCGACAATGGTTTGAGATGGTGATGGTAAAACTTCTTTTTATCGATCTTGATTCGCGCATAAATTTTGAAACTATGGACCTAACTGAATCGGAGAACCCGACGTCCTTGAGAGTCTTGGAAGAAGGACCAACAGAGGTGGCCATATTATACTTGTAAAATCCAGAGTTGACTTTGTTTTTATTTACTACTTATTTATGATTAAGTTCTAAGTAGTGTACAATTCAATGATAATCATATTAATGCATGTTAGAAAATTAACAAGAAGGTTGCGTATGTCGATTATATTGTTACCAAAATATTTATGGTTTACGATTTTATCCAATTCTTTATTACTAACTATTTGTTCTACTGTTTGTGATCATAATTAATACTTTGATTAATTCTTATTCTATTGGTAGTTAAATAATTTTTTCTTCATCAAGAAAATTGCCTCGAAGTAGCGCACGAGGTTTGACATTGACATTATCTTTGTACATTAATTATATGTAACAACCCGACAAGTCGTTTTGAGCTCTAACGCGTTGTTCGACGGTTTGAGACCTTGAGTAGTTTTACCTCAGGTATTATGACTTGTATGTGTGGTCGGAATCGAATTTCAGGATGTTCGGGATTGATTTGGAAAGAAAATTCTAATTTCGGAAGCTTTAAGTTGGAAGAATTGGCTAAGATTTGACTTTTGAGTAAATGACCTCAGAATCGGGATTTGAAGGTTCCAATAGGTTCATATGATGATTTCGGACTTGGGCGTATGTTCGAATTGAGTATCGGATCACCCGGGAGCATTTCAGCGCTTATTGTGGAAGATTGGTATTTTAAAAGTTTACGAAATTCTTAAGTTTGACTTGAAGTGGATTTTAATATTATCGATGTCCGTTTGGGATTGTGAGCCTTGGAATGACTTCGTTATGTTATTTATGACTTGTATGTGAAATTTGAAATCATTTCGGATTGATTTGATACTTTTCAGCACAAGATGTAGAATTTGGAAATTTATAAGTTTGATTCGAGGCGCGATTCATGATTTTGATGCTGTTTGACTTGGTTTAAGGCTTCGACTAAGTTCGTATTGTACTTTGGGATGTGTTGGTAAGTTTGGACGGGTCCCAGGGGCCTTGGGTGCGAATCGGATTGAAAACGGGTAGAGTTTGGACTTGGGAGAAATGCTGAAGCAGCTGGCATCTGGTGTAACAACACCTGCGAGATTTTGGCCGCAAGTATGGAGCCGCAGAAGCGGCCAAGAGGGTCACAGAAGCGGTTCTGGACGAGCTGGGCAGGGGCGCAAGTGCGAGGAAATATTCGCACTGGCGAAGCCGCAGATGCGGAGGGGAGATCGTAGAAGCGGATTTGGCTAAGAAGGCATGGGGCCGCAAGAGCGAACTTTGGCACGCAGGTGCGTGAGCACATAAGCGCTTGTTGTCCGCAGAAGCAGAAGCGCAAAAGCGCTGTTTGGGCTGCAAAAGCGGAGGCTGCTGGGTTAAGTTATAGCCGCACCTGCGATAGATTTTTCACAGGTGCGACTATTAGACCGCATGTGCGAAGGTCGGGCTGGCAAGTGTGATTTTTTAAAAATGAGCGTTTGGCTCAATTTCACTTCATTTCGTCCATGGAAGCAGATTTTGGAGCACTTTTGGAGTACCATCTTCATCAACTGTTATGGGGTAAGTGATTTCTTCACATTGTGAGTTAAATACATAGTTTATATACGGATTTAAGCATGAGAGTTTATACAAATTAGGAATTTTGGTAGAAAATCTAAAAATTAGTATTTTTAGATTTTGACCACGAAATTGGATATGGAATTAGGAACAAATCATATATTTGAGTTCGTGGTGTTATGGGTAAAGATTATCTTCGAAAAGTTTTGGAATCCTGGCACGTGGGCCCGTGGGTTAACCTTATCGACTTTTCGAACGGAGTTGAGAATTGTTTGAATTGATTAATTATGGGTATTAGAGTATATTTTGATTGGTTTACACATTGTTTGACTAGTTTTGGATCGACGGGCATCGGTTTGAGGTGTTAGAGGGGTTTTGGAGCCGGTTATAAAACTTCGGAGCGACGTAAGTCTCCTGTCTAACCTTGTGAGGGGAAAACTACCACTAGGTGATATTTATAGTTATGTGCAACTAGTTGTGGGTGCTACGTACGCACGAGGTGACGAGAATCCGTACGTAACTTAAGCATGTTTATGTCCGGGTAGATTTAGGATCTTATCATGAAATATTTGAATTACTTGAACTCATTCTGCTTGCTTCATTAATTGAAGTTATAATTGAAATTGATTTAGAAGTAAATATATGTACACTAGGCTAAGCCTTAACTATTTGAGTTGTGTGCGAGTTATTTAATAAATGATAAAGATTAAATTCATTTTGTGCTCATATGCTGTATTGTAAACACGTGCCGCGTAATTCGGTAACTTTCTTCCTTTTCTTGTGGAGCGGGCAGAACACCTCGGCAGTATATAGATGCATCTATGGATTGTGCCGCACGTCCCTCGGAACTGTACACGTTATTCTGGATCGGGCCGAACGACCTAGGCAGTATCGTGCGTTATATCGCTAGTATTCCGAATATTCACTAGCTAGTCTTTCCACTGATGCCCGACATTTTTTGGTATTTCTTATTGGTATTTATTATTTATTTGGTATTGACACTTGGCATGTTCTGAGATATTAAGGAAGAATACAAGATTGAGAAAATTTATGCTTTAAGGGGAATAAATTAGAAAATTATGAGATTACAGATTTACTTCGCCATAGCTGTACACTTCATATCTGTTATGAATTATCATTTTATTTATTTGGACCTCTAGTAAGTGTCGATGTCGATCCCTCGTCACTACTTCTCCGGAGTTAGGCTAGATACTTACTGGGTACGCGTTGATTTATGTATTCATGCTGCACTTCTGCACTAAATGTGTAGGATCTGACAGGTTCATTGATGATCACCTTGGCGCGTAGGCGCACCTGTTGAGGAGACTTCATGTGAGCTGCATTCCAGGCTACGCATCGCAGTATACCGAATCTTCACTGTACTAATTATTTTATTCTGTCTTATTACATTCGGGACAGCTGTTGTATTATTATTGTACTCCTTAGAAAAAAATGCTCATGTACTTGTGACACCGGGTTTTGGAGAATTTCCTACGGGTTGTTCGTTGATATAGTTGTGTAAATATTTTTCACTTACTTTGAAGAATCTATTACATACGATTTAATTGAGAAATTTTTTGATTTCAATTACAAAAATAAGCAAGTGAGTTGCTCGATCACCGTTGGCTTGCCTGACGGCGATGTTAGGCGCCATCACGATCTTTAACGGATTTTGGGTCGTGACATTACAAATTCAAAATACGAAGGAAAGGGACCTAATTTACATTATCTATAAAATATATATCCTACATAAAGAGAAAATCTTCTCCCACCACGTTTATATATATATAAAAGAACGAATATTTTATGCTAAATGTTGAATGACTAAAATATCACCGAAATGTTGATCGGCTTTTATGCCCTTAAATATTTGTATAATTTAAGGATATAACTGTAAATTATTCAAGGGTGAATTTCTTTTTCGATTAGGACAAAGTAATCCTATTACTCTTTGGACATCTTCTTCGACCATATGCAAACATACTTCTTTTCGGATCATATGTATTCATATAAATTTGAATAACTTGATCTGCTTTTTCTTTTTCAATTTGAAATGTATTTCTAATTTAGTTTGAGAACTTGAGGAGCCAAACACTTCTATAAAGTAAACCAACACATTAGGATATACAATTGTAATAGGGTTTAATCGGGGAAAAATAAGAGTAGATGGTTTGCTAGACCATATTCTCAATTTTAATAGGAAAGCAATACGTTCTCTATATAAGTTTTGTGTTTTGTGTTAGCCTATTGTTAGGGAGCAAACAGATCTTTGTAATGCAAATTAATATTGTAGTAGTTAATAATTTTAGCTAAATGATAAATATTTAGTGCATATATGAATTTCTCTAACGGATCGTCGTTTATTGGAGGCTGAATTTTATTTTCAATTTTGATTCATTATCCTTTTCATTGCAAATTAAAATATTTTTCTTCTTTTTAACATAAAATTATCCTTTCTATTGGATATACTTTAATATTCAGAACTTCACCTAATACAAAAAAAAGATACCGTGAAGTTACTTCTCCGATATTTCTTAAGTAATTTTTTATAAATCTGAAGAGTCCAATATTTAGGGTTTAGAATAAATATTAAAGATATCTAAAATATTTATAGCTCCTTAAATTTTGTTTAATTGATAGTGAATGTTGAGAAAATAGAATGAGAGAAAGGATTTTGTTGTTTGGTGGTGGTGTTGGTGCTTATATCATTACAGAACAGAATATATTTGGAGAAAATATTCAACATTGAGGTATGATCATAATAAAATATGACGATAGGCTTAAGGGGAAACAATGGTGTTTGTGACGTATAATATTTGTGGTGTGTGAAATTGGGGTGACGAGAGTGGCGTAAGGTCGGTCAAATTGTGATAATGGAAGAAGGTGGCGAAAATAAAAAATTGGTAAGGAAGAAAAATTGATTAAAAATTATTAGATTATTTTCTTTTAATTAAGTGAATTTATCGTATTAGATAATAAAATTAATTTTATACTTATGAGTAGATATTGTTTGTCTTGAATATATAACCGAATTGTTAAATAAATTTGGTTGTTCTTCAAAAATAATTGGTTATCAAGCCCAATGATAATATTAGGGGTGAAGATATTTTTATCATTAATACATTATAAAGTTCATTTTTTGCTTACGTATATTAGTGTCATGCATGTATATACTAGGCAAAGTTAAAAATTTGTCCATCGTGTCATTGAGATATATCCATCAAATGGCTTATGTAATGGTGTCACGACTCAAAATCCAACTAGCCGTGATGACACCTAACCTCACCCCCTAGGTAAGCCAAATAACAACAATCCGATTCAATTAATATTTAACTGACTCTGATAAACTCTCCAAGGACCGGTAGTACAAATCATGAGCTTCTAAGATTGAGAATTTACAAAGCTGGTGTGAAATAAAATACATCATCTGTTTGAAAATATATGAACAAATTTTTAAATCTA